GATCCTACATGAGGAGTAGGTGCACAGTGACTCCTGTTGTTGACTTAACAAATTGACCCTCTTGTTTATGGCATCAGTAATCACCCTAGGCTCTTGTCATGCGTTGCCAAGGCTATGGAGGCCTTCTGAGTTCGCCAACTCTGATAATATTTAGACAAGGTCACAGTCAAAGTGGAAGTTCTCTCCTCCTTTCAGAGAAAGGTATCTCCTTTGATTACCTGTTCTTTCCACTGGGATCTCACTCACAGAGATCTTTCATTTAGGTCATTTTTTTGCCAGAGTGTCTTGGCATTCCATGCCTGAAATTCTCTCATGGGCTTTTCAGGTGGTTCTGAATGACTTAAGGGCTAATTCTGAGGCCAGAGTACTGAACAAACATAATAGATCAAATCATCAGATAGATCAATAGATCAAATGACAAACACATTAGAGAGTCTTAGAAACAGAGTCAGTGAGACAGAAGAGAGAATATTGGACTTAGAAGACAGAGAACAGGAAAGTAAACAGTCAAACCAAAGAAAAGAAGAGGAAATTAGAAATCTAAAAAATATTGTGGGGAATCTAGAGGATACTATTAAAAAACCCAACATTCGGGTTCTCAGACCATAGTGGAATGAAGCTGGAAATTAGCAACTCAGGAATCCCTAGAGCATATGCAAACAAATGGAGATTTTACAACATGCTCCTGAATGAACAATGGGTCATAGAAGAAATAAAAAACTTTCTGGAAGTAAATGAGGACAACAGCACATCTTATCAAAACTTATGGGATACAGCAAAAGCAGTGTTAAGAGGAAAATTTATATCAATAGGTGCCTACATCAAGAAATTGGATGTGCACCAAATAGATGAGCTTTCACTGCATCTCAAGGATCTAGAAAATCTGCAGCAAACCAGACCCAAATCTAGTAGGAGAAGAGAAATAACTGAAATCAGAGAAGATATCAATAGGATTGAATCCAAAAAAAAATCACAAAAAATCAGCCAAATGAGGAGCTTTTTTAAAAAATAAATAAATAAAATTGACACCTCTTTGGCAGAACTAACTAAAAAAAGAAAAGACCCAAATCAATAAAATCAGAGATGAAAAAGGAAATGTAACAACAGACACCACAGAAATAAAAAGAATCATCAGAAATTACTACGAGGACTTGTATGCCAGCAAACAGGGAAATCTATCAGAAATGGATAGATTCCTGGACACATGCAATCTACCAAAATTGAACCAGGAAGACGTAAAAAACCTAAACAGACCCATAACTGAGTCAGATTGAATCAGTAATAAAGGCCCTCCCAACAAAGAAAAGCCCAGGACCAGATGGATTCACTGCTGAATTCTACCAGACATTTAAAAAAAGAACTAACTCCAATTCTTCTCAAACTATTCAGAACAATCAAAAAAGAGGGAGTCCTCCCAAATTCTTTCTATGAAGCCAGCATCACCTTAATCCCTAAGCTGGAAAAAGATGCAGCATTGAAAGAAAATCACAGACCAATATCTCTGATGAACATAGACGCAAAAATCCTCAATAAAATTCTGGCTAATAGAATGCAACAACACATCAGAAAGATCATCCACCCAGACCAAGTGGGATTTATCCCTGGTATGCAGGGATGGTTCAATGTTCGCAAATCAATCAATGTGATTCACCACATTAACAGACTGCAGAAGAAAAACCATATGATTTTCTCAATAGATGCAGAGAAAGCATTTGATAAAATACAACACCCTTTCATGATGAAAACCCTAAGCAAATTGGGTATAGAAGGATCATTCCTCAATACAATCAAAGCAATTTATGAAAAACCCATGGCCAGCATCCTATTGAATGGGGAAAAGTTGGAAGCATTTCCACTGAGATCTGGTACCAGACAGGGATGCCCACTCTCACCACTGCTATTCAACATAGTTCTGGAAGTTTTAGCCAGAGCCATTATTCAAGAAAAAGAAATTAAAGGGATACAAATTGGGAAGGAAGAACTCAAACTATCCCTCTTTGCAGATGATATGATTCTTTACTTAGGGGACCCAAAGAACTCTACTAAGACACTATTGGAACTCATTGAAGAGTTTGGGAAAGTAGCAGGATATAAAATCAATGCACAAAAATCAAGAGCCTTTGTATACACAGGCAATGCCACAGCTGAGAAATAACTTCTAAGATCAATCCCATTCACAATAGCCACAAAAACCATCCAATAACTTGGAATAAACTTAACCAGGGATGTTAAACATCTCTACGATGAGAATTACAAAACCTTAAAGAAAGAAATAGAAGAGGATAACCAAAAAATATAATAATCTTCCATGCTCATGAATTGGAAGAATCAATACCATCAAAAAGTCCATTCTCCCAAAAGCAATTTACAGATTCAATGTGATGCCAATCAAGATACCAAAGACATTCTTAGATCTAGAAAAATGATGCTGAAATTCATAGGGAGGCACAGGAGACCTTGAAAAGCTAAAGCAATCTTGTACAACAAAAACAAAGCCAGAGGCATCACAATACCGGATTTCAGGACATACTACAGGGCAGTTGTTATCAAAACAGTATGGCACTGGTACAGAAACAGATGGATAGACCAATGGAACAGAATTGAAACACCAGAAATCAATCCAAACATCTACAGCCAATTTATATTTGATCAAGGATCCAAAACCAATCCCTGGAGTAAGGACAGTCTATTCAATAAATGGTGCTGGGAAAACTGGATTTCCATGTGCAGAAGCATGAAGCAAGACCCCTACCTTTCACCTTACACAAAAATCCACTCAACATGGATTAAAGACCTAAATGTATGACCCGGCACCATCAAATTATTAGAGAACATTGGAGAAACCCTGCAAGATATGGGCACAGGCACACTTCTTATAAAAGACCCGGAAGCACAGGCAGTCAAAGCCAAAATTAACATTTGGGATTGTATCAAATTGAGGAAGTTTCTGTACTGCAAAAGAAACAGTCAGGAAAGAGAAGAGGCAACTGACAGAATGGGAAAAATATTTGCAAACTATGCAAGAGATAAATGATTAATAACCAGAATCTACAAAGAGATCAAGAAACTCCACAACATCAAAACCAACAACCCACTTAAGAGATGGGCCAAGGACCTCAATAGACATTTTTCAAAAGAGGAAATCCAAATGGCCAACAGGCACATGAAAAAATGTTCAGGATCACTAGCAATCAGGCAGATGCAAATCAAAAGCACAATGAGGTTTCACCTCAGCCCGGTTAGAATGGCTCACATACAGAAATCTACCAACAACAGATGCTGGTGCGGATGTGGGGAAAAAGGGACACTAACCCACTGTTGGTGGGAATGCAAACTGGTAAAGCCACTATGGAAGACAGTTTGGAGTGTCCTCAGAAACCTGAATATAACCCTACCATTCAACTCAGCCATCCCACTCCTTGGAATTTACCCAAAGGAAATTAAATTGGAAAACACAAAAGCTGTGTGCATCTTAATATTTATTGCAGCTCAATTCACAATAGCTAAAACCTGGAATTAACCTAAATGCCCATCAACAGTAGACTGGATAAAGAAATTATGGGACATGTACTCTATAGAATACTATACAGCAGTAAAAAAAAAAAAAGAATGAAGTCCTGTCATTTGCAACAAAATGGAGGAACCTGGAAAACATCATGCTGAGTGAAATAAGCCAGTTCCAAAAGGACAAATATAATATGTTCTCCCTGATTGGTGATAACTAACTTTCAAAAAGGAAACCTGATGAAGTGAAATGGACAGTATGAGAAACAATGACTTGATCAGCCCTTATCATCACTGTTGATGTACAATTTAATACTATATCCCTTTTAGTATTTTGTTTGTTCTACTTAATACCATTGGTTGAACTCTGTGATTAAACACAATTGTTCTTAGATGTTTAAATTTTAACTGAAAAGTGATCTCTGTTAAATATAAGAGTGGGAATAAGAGAGGGAGGGGATATACCATTTATGACATGCTCAAGCTGACTTGCCCCAAGTGGTAGAGTTAGAAATGTCCCAGAGGATTCCAATACAATCCAATCCAGGCTGCATGTACCAATGCCACCTCACTAGTCCAAGTGATCAATTTCAGGTCACAATAGACCATAATGATTGGTCTAAGAGTCAAAGGGATCACATAAACTAGACTAGTGTCTGCTAATACTAACGGATAGAATAAAAAAGGAAGAGAACAATCCAACATGGGAAGTGGGATACACAGCAGACTCAAGAATGGTAGCTGTCCCAAACAGCACTCTGGCCGTGAAATCGGCCCTTAAGGCATTCGGATCTGGCCGAAGAGCCCATGAGAGTATTTCAGGCATGGAAAGCCAAGAAACTCTGGCAAGAAAACAAAACAAAACAAACAAAACAAAACAAAACATCCCACACAAAACCTAAATGATAGATTGCTGCGAGTGAGATCCTAGTGGAAAGAAAGGGCCATCAAAGAAGGAGGTACCATTCTCTGAAGGGAGGAGAGAACTTCCACTTTGACTATGGCCTTGTCGAAATAAGATCAAAGTCAGTGAGCTCAGGGGGATCCCATGGCCTTGGCAGCTCATGATTAGAGCCTGGGGAGATTGCTGACGCCTTAAACAAGAGTGTCAACAACAGGAGTCACTGTACACTTACTTCCCATGTATGATCTCTGTCATTAATGTGTAGTTCAATGTGAATTACTGACATGACTAGTGCTCAAACAGTATTTGGCACTTTGTGTTCTGTGTGGGGGCAAACTGATGAAATCTTAATATATACTAAATTGATCTTCTGTATATAAAGATAATCGAAAATGAATCTTAATTTGAATGGAATGGGAGAGGGAGTGGGAAATGGGAGGGTTGCAGGAGGGAGGGAAGTTATGGGGGGGAAGCCATTGTAATCCATAAACTGTACTTTGAAAATTCGTATCTACTAAATAAAAGTTAAAAAAAAAATAGAGACTAATGCTAACCGAGAAAGTGAAAAGAGTATCTAATTATTGGTATACAACATACAATTCTCCTTAGGTTTCATCATGAATAAAATGGATTGGCAGACATAAAAAAATCACATACTCAGCTGTGAAATTAAAAACAAAAGTCTGAGTTTTAGGTAAAGATTTTGCAACTTGGATGTCAGCACCAAAGGGCACAGGTGACCTTCCTTGTGGACAGGTTTCAGGCATACTTATTTTCTCCCATTCCTCTTCCATGAATATCAACAAGTCCTTAGGGACTAGGGTAACATGGACTGGCTGGCTAATTGGGAGCTCTGTGCACTGAGCACCCAAGGTCCTAACAATGAGACAGCACAATCACACCTTGGCCTTCCTGATGGAAATATAGTGGCTGCACTCCCATTGTGAGCATCTGCACCAGGAGGCCCCTGCCTGAGTCTGTCTCCAGTCCTGAGTGCACAGCCCAAGGCTCCCTCCATTGCACTCCAGGCAGGTGAGGAGCAGCGGAGCCATCACCCTTGGTCATGCTTCAGATGAGACTCAGCGCAGCCCAGTAAGTGCTGAGGGATAGCAGGGAAGGAGGTTGGACTCTTAGGAACATTGTTTTCTCCTCCTCAGAAGAAAAGTGAGAGTTGGGGTAGACTTGTGGGGTGGAACCAATAAGCAAAGCTTCAGGCCAGAGGACTGTGAAGTCTATGCTCTTGATTCTCATAGGAGTCCCAGTTATCTCATTCAGAGTTTGGCTTTCCTCCTGTATTAAGTCTTACTCCTTTGGAATCCTCTTCATGACAGCAGCAAATGCATCTCTAAACTGTCCCCTGAACACACAGAAACATGACCATAAGGGCGATAATGAGGATGCCAGAGAGTATAACATTGTGGGCGATTACTGAGGGCTTCCTAAGTGCCAGGCTCTGAACTCTTGCAAGCAGGCTGTTTCATTGCATCTGCACAATCTCCCAAGTTTTGTTCCATAGAGGAGCTCAGCACTTTTTTGTGATTTGTATCTGATTGTAGGGTACAGAATTGAAGCCACAGCTTAAAAAAAGGCTTATTTAATTTGAAAGAGTTACAGAGATTGGAGAGCCAGAGAGAGATAGAGAGAAAGGTCTTCCATCCATTGCTTCCCTCCTGAGATGGCCACAACAGCTGGAGCTGTGCCAGGCTGAAGCCAGGAACTCCATCCGGGTTTCCCTTGTGGGTACAGGAGCCCAAGGACTTGGATCATCTTATGTTGCTTTCCCAGGTGTGTTAGCAGGGAAATGGATTGGAAGTGAAGCAGCCAGGACTTGAACTGTTGCCCATATGGGATGCCAGGGCTGCAGGCTGTAGCTTTAGTCAATACACCACAGCACCGGCCCCTGAAACCACACCTGAATCAGACACAGGGCACATGGCCACTCTACCCCTCTGGTGACCCCAGCAGAAGTTTCACTGTCCACTGTGCTCTTTCCATAGGCTTCTCTGTCGATTGTGGGCAGTCACGGGTGAAGTGTGGCTGAGCTCAAAGGCTAAGATCCCAGGAAGTGCAGACCCAGGATAACTCAGAGGAAATGGCTCTCCTGACCCCACACCTGGGTTTCTCTTCTGCCAGCTTCCTCACTCCTCTTGTAATCACTCCTGTATTCTTAATCAGAGACTTAAAAATGGGTTGTTGGTTTCCATTTCTGACTGCAGAAACTGGAAAGAGAATACTAACAGCCCTTGGAGTTTCCTGTAGTTTAGACCACTGGATCTCTGCTTAAGTCTTTCTGATCAGGAAGAGATAATGAAGAAGTTGAATACATCAGATTTCAGATCTGATAATGTAGTGTTGAATCCTATCTGCTCCACTCCAAGTTGTTGGCATCTCTGAGAGTTAGCATTGTCATTTGAGTTGGGACCTCATCCACAGAGCTCACAAAGCTCTTATCCTCCAATGAGAGGACTTCAGAATGTTCATGGAAAAATGGAATAAAAAGTATGAATTACTGCTTTTGAAATCCACACATAGATTTTTTTTCATAATATATTATTTTCCATACATTATAATTTTTTACACAGCTTTATTTTTGTAAAATAAACTCACATTTCTATATGTCCAAAAAGTCTTTGAAGCTTAAACATGGCCATGAATGTGTATTTTTTAGAATGATGCAATCCCTTTCATTTCTGATTCCTCAGACCCATTAGCTTGCTTAGCAGAGTGGAAGCATCAGCATGAAGATCTCTGTTACACGGTCAGTAGACCCTTCCATGGCTCGCAATAACTGGCCGTCATCAGTGTGGCTTTAACACTCTTGGTGCTTTCTTGTCAGAGCCTTCATCCCTTTCAGAAAGTCCCACAGAACTAGAGACCATTGAGTAGCATGTGTTTGCACCTCCATGAGGACACATGGCTCCTGCAATGGCACTCAATGGAACCTACAGCAAAATCTTTGAGTTCAAAAATCAAGGCAGACATGTGTTTCACATCTAGCGTAAATGTACAGAGAGAAGGGGGCAGGCAATCCTGTGCCTGAGCTGAGGCACGTTCTAGAGCTGGATGTCCTTTCAGCCACCAGCATCATTTATCAACAAACTTGCTATTTCTGCAATTACAGAGGCTATATTTTGAAAAATCATGATGACCACATTTTTAAGCTCTCATTCTCCTAGATGATACCCTGTCAGATATGCGAGTTACTCTTCCTATGTCCAGTGGACAATACAATCACGGGGAGGTGGAGAGATTTACACAGGTGTTGGCATGTATTATAGGTGAATGATGGTGATTTCCTTACTCCCTCCATACAGCAATCAGAATATTATGCTAAGTAGAATAACATTCCCACACAACATGAAATTTCTTGTTATTAGGAAATGATTAGTACTAGATATTACACAGATTAACATTTGATGGTACATCAAATATATAGTTATATATAGATAGATGGTATATCAATTATATAGTTAGTATATATAGTTGGTATATCAAAGATATATTTGATTGCTTTTATTAGAATAGCAAACAGATGCTGGACAAAACTACACATGCATCAAATTTTGCTATTCATCTGTTTCAAATAAGATAAAAAATGAATAAAGAAAGATAAAAAGAATTAAAAAATTTTCCTTGCAACAGTCTCATAGGGCAAACATCCATTTCACGGATGAAGAATCTGAAAAGTATGCTTGCATTATTTTCTGGAATTCTGTTTTCTATCTTTTCTCAGTTCATTCATAGCCTCTTCTGCTAAAATAATGAACCACAGTTGTCTTAGGGCAGATAAAGGTAGAGAATTACAACCCATGAATAAGGAAAGGTTAATACTACAATATTTTCTTTATGCATAGGAAGAATGGGACTCAAAGTTGACTTTGGGCCCTCCCTGATACCAAACACTTCAACTGCAAATAAGAGGGTTTATGATCATAAAACTGTAAAGCATCATTACCACGTCGCTATGAAAAAATTTTAAGAATATTTAAATATGATACACCTGTCAAACAAGATAATTTACTGAGATCATGAGGCAAATACAAAAACTACCTGTTTAAGATTTCAAAAATTCAGACATTTCTTTTAAAAAAATCCTTACTTCTGATCACTGACAGGTGCAGAAAACACTAAAGTTACATTTGCAGTCATTGCCTTTCTATGATTATGTGCACTTAATTACCACATTTATCAAAATTTGACCCCTACCAATGACCAGGAGAGAAGTTATGGATCACACAGAAGACAGACTGGATTGGGCACACAGCATGGTTAAGATACCCCTCTCCTACTTAGGAGTGTTTGAGTTTGATTCCTGGCTATTGTTCATTACTCGGCTTCCTCCCAGACTGTGGGAGGAAGTGGTGATGACTCAAGTACTTGAGTGACTGTAACCCATGTAGGAGACCTGAATCAAGTTCCAGCTCCCAGCTTCTGCAGTAGTGCATCCAATGACACTGTAGGCATTTGGGAGTGAATCAATGGGTAGGTGCTCTTGCTTTCTTTCTCTCCCTTCCTCCCTTCTTCCCTCCTTCCCTGTCTGTCTGTGAGTCTCCCTATGAAACAAAAAGGCAATTTAGAAGGGAAACCAGAAAACCTGAGAATCATGAAACCTCTGAAAGATAACTAACACACAACAGTATTTTCCTATCATGAACGATCAATATTAAGTTAGTGTTGACATAACACAGTCCTGGCATTTAGAGTGCACGTAAGTCAATGGAATTTGTACCATTGTTAAAATAAGGTATATTTAACTGCTTCTTAATTACCCTTATTTAGAATATTATCTTTGAAGGCAAAAGGGCATTTTGTAATCTTTTTTATTAAAAGTCTAGGTTGTGCCAGTGCCACGGCTCACTAGGCTAATCCTCCACCTTGTGGCGCCGGCACACCGGGTTCTAGTCCTGGTCGGGGTGCCGGATTCTGTCCTGGTTGCCCCTCTTCCAGGCCAGCTCTCTGCTGTGGTCAGGGAGTGCAGTGGAGGATGGCCCAAGTACTTGGGCCCTGCACCCCATGGGAGACCAGGATAATTACCTGGCTCCTGCCATTGGATCAGTGTGGTGCGCCAGCTGCAGCGTGCTGGCCGCAGCAGTCATTGGAGGGTGAACCAATGGCAAAGGAAGAGCTTTCTCTCTGTCTCTCTCTCACTGTCCACTCTGTCAAAAAAAAGTCTAGGTTGTTTCTCTCTGTCTAACTCCATCTGTCAAATAAAAGAAAAGTCTAGGTTGCATTTGACTGTGTTCATGGACTAGGTAGGTCAAACGTTCTGGGTTTCCTAACACTTTTCAATTGCTCCAAAAGCCATTCTTTTAATTTTATTTATTCTATGGACTTTAGAGTTACCCTTATATTATACCCATAACTAGCTGAATGAAAACTATATACAGAAAAACTATATGCAAGCACTGTGTGCCCTTGTTTCCTTTTTCCATCCCTATCTTCTTTTCCAGAAGGAGTACAGGCTGTGTTGAAACACAAAATCTGACGTGTGTCCTAGACTTCCATCTCATGGGCTTCTCAGAGGATCCAACCCTGCAGTCCCTCCTGTTTGGGCTGTTCCTGTCCATGTACCTGGTCACGGTGCTCGGGAACCTGCTCATCATCCTGCTCATCATCTCTGACACCCACCTGCACACCCCCATGTACTTCTTCCTCTGCAACCTGTCCTTGGCTGACGTGGGTTTCACCTCCACCACGGTTCCCAAGATGATTGTGGACATCCACATTCACAGTACAGTCATCTCCTATATGGGCTGCCTGACACAGATGTCTCTCTTTCTCATCTGTGGATGCATGGATGATTTGATTCTGACTGTAATGGCCTATGACCGGTTTGTCGCCATCTGTCATCCACTGCATTACCAAGTCATCATGAACCCCCGCCGCTGTGCCTTCTTGGTTTCAGTGTCTTTTGTGGCCAGCCTTTTGGAATCCCTGCTGCACAACTTGATATTATTACCAGTTACCTGCTTCAAGGCAGTTGAAATTTCTAATTTCTTTTGTGACCCTTCTCAGCTTCTCAATCTTACATGCGATGACACCTTCAACCATGACACAGTCATATATCTTATTGGTATTGTATTTGGGTTTTTCCCTATCTCAGGGATCCTCTTCTCTTACTATAAAATCATGTCCTCCATTCTGAAAATCCCATCCCCAGATGGGAAGTGCAAAGCCTTCTCCACCTGTGGCTCGCACCTCTTGGTTGTTTGCTTATTTTACGGATCAGGTTTTGGAGTGTATCTCAGTGCATCCTTCTCCACCTCTTCCAGGAAGAGTGCTGTGGCCTCACTGATGTACACCCTGGTCACCCCTATGTTGAACCCCTTCATCTACAGCCTGAGGAACAGGGACATCAAGAGAGCTCTGCAGAGAACTCTCAACAGAATAAGCTAATCTCACTGCCCTTGCCATCCTTGTGCTCCTAGAACTGAAATGGGCCGCTCCAAGAAGTCCTGAATCAGTCCTCAGATCACAGCATGTGAAGGCATCTATCATCATCTCCATGTCTTTCGGGCTTCTCTTTACATGACCGTTCCTCTCAATATCACTTTAATGGAGTCAGGAGACCCTTTTGGCCAACCACTTTGGCGACAGTTATTCCAGGATCCTATGTCTGTGTGAATTCTGAGGATGGGGACTGTCACAGGAAGAGAGCTAAACAGGGGACTAGCAGAGTCATGTGTAGTGATGTTTTCCAGCTTGCTTGGGGCTTTTTTTTTTTAAAGGTTTATTTTAATTATTTGAACGAGAGAGAGGTAGAGACAGAGAGAGAGAATCTTCTATCCACTGGTTCACTCCCTAAATGACCACAATGGCAAGAGCTGAGTCAGTCTGAAGCCAAGAGCTTCTTCTGGGTCTCTCACATGGGTGCAGGGGCCCAAGCACTTGCCATACTCTGCTGCTTTCCCAGGCCATTAGCATGGAGCTAGGTTGGAACTAGAGCAGTTAGGACTTGAACTGGTGCCCGTATGGGATGAGAGCACTGTAGGCTGGGTCTTTAACCTGCTGTGTCACTGCACAGGCCCCAGGTTGGAGATCTTAAAATCACTACTCTATTTTCCACCTTTCTTTAATAAAACATCACTCATGGTCAGTAACCTTAACTACACTGGAAGTGCGGTGCATTTCACTAATTCCTTCTCTCCCCACTAAGGCCTCAATGTTTGAGAGACCCCCTTCAGTTACTGTTCACTCGTTTTTCCCTCTTTGCCTTTGTCCTGCAGTAACTATTGGACCCATTGTCCATATTCCGTTCTCTCACATCATGCTGAGTGAAATAAGCCAGTCCCAAAGGGACAAATACCATATGTTCTCCCTGATCGGTGTCAACTCACTGAACACCAAAAAGGAAACCTCCTGAAGTGAAATGGACACTATGAGAAACGGTGACTTGATCAGCATAGCCCTGACTGTTAATGAACAACTTAATACATTATCCCTCTTAGTAGTTTTTTTGTCTGTTCTACTTAATATGACCGGTTTAATTCTGTAATTAATACACAGTTATTCTTAAGTGTTAAAAATTAACTGAAATGTGATCCCTGTTAAACATAAGAGTGGGAATAAGAGAGGGAAGAGATGTATAATTTGGGACATGCTCAAGCTGACTTGCCCCAAATGGTAGAGTTAAAAACATACCAGGGGATTCCAATTCAATCCCATCAAGGTGGCATGTACCAATGCCATCTCACTAGTCCAAGTGATCAATTTCAGTTCACAATTGATCATAATGAAAGGACTAAGAGTCAAAGGGAGCACATAAACAAGTCTAGTACCTGCTAACACTAACCGATAGAATAAATAAAGGGGAGAGCGATCCAACATGGGAAGTGAGATACTCAGCAGACTCATAGAATGGCAGATGTCCTAAATAGCACTCTGGCCTCAGAATCAGCCCTAAAGGCATTTGGATCTGGCTGAAAAGCCCATGAGAGTATTTCAGGCATGGAAAGCCAAGACACTCTGGCAAAAGATCTCTGCGAGTGAGATCCCAGTGGAAAGAACAGGCCATCAAAGAAGGAGGCACCTTTCTCTGAAGGGAGGAGAGAATCTCCACTTTGACTATGACCTTGTCTAAACAAGATAAGAGTCAGAGAACTCAGAGGGCTTCCATAGCCTTGGAAACTCATGACTGGAGCATAGGGAGACTACTGATGCCATAGACAGGAGTGTCAATTTGTAAAGTCAACAACAGGAGTCACTGTGCACTTACTCCTCATGTAGGATCTCTGTCCTTAATGTGCTGTACATTGAGGCTTAATGCTATAACGAGTACTCAAAGAATATATTTCACTTTGTGTTTCTATGGGGGTGCAAACTGTTGAAATCTTTACTTAATGTATACTAAACTGATCCTCTGCAAAAAAAAAAAAAATATTATCAACTCCCAACTTGACTCTCACTGGGATTAAACATGACAATAGGTCTGATCTGATTTCATCATCATTTAAAAAAATCATCTATTATTTTTCACTTTATGTTTCTGTGTGGGAGCAAACAGTTGAAATCTTTACTTAATGTATACTAAACTGATCTTCTGTATATTAAGATAATTGAAAATGAATCTTGATGTGAATGGAAGGGGAGAGGGAGTGGGAAAGGGGAGGGTTGTGGGTGGGAGGGACGGTATGTGGGGGAAGCCATTGTAATGCATAAATCGTACTTTGGAAATTTATATTCATTAAATAAAAGTTAAAAAAAGATAACTAGATTTATTTCTGTTTCTTGACTGATGAATACATCATGACATGATGATGAGCTGTGATGGGAGTATTTAAAAATGTACACAAGGGGGCAGTGCAGTAGTGCAGTAGGTTAAGCCTGTGCCAGCATTACTGGCATCCCATATGGGTGCTGGTTCAAGTCTTGGCTGCTCCACTTCTGATACAGCTCCCTACTATGGGCTGTGAAAGCAGTGGGGGATGGCCTAAATGCTTGGGCCCCTGCACCCATGTGGTAGACCTAGAAGAAGCACCTGGCCCTGGCTTTGGATTACTCCAGCTCCAGCTGTTGAAGCCATTTGGAAAGTGAATCAGTGGATGGAAGATCTCTGTCAGTCCTTCTCTCTTGTAACTCTGCCTGTAGAATAAAATAAATCTTAAAACATTTTTTTAATGTGCTCAAGAAATCAAGCCAGGAGCCAGTGCTGTGGCACAGTGGGTTAATGCCTTGGCCTGAGGTGCCGGCATCCCAAAGACCCGGCTGCTCCACTTCCAATCCAGCTCTCTGCTGTGGCCTGGGAAAGCAGTGGAAGATGGCCCAAGTCCTTGGGCCCCTGCACCCACATTAGAGACCCAGAAGAAGCTCCTGTCTCCTGGCTCAGATAGGCGCAGCTCAGGCCGTTGCAGCCATTTTGGGAGTGAACCATTGGATGGAAGACTCTCTCTCTCTCTCTCTCTCTCTCTCTCTGCTTCTCCATTCTGCATAACTTTTTCATCCAAAATAAATCTTTAAAAAAAAAAAAGAAATCAAGCCAGCTTTCAATATTGGTCTTCACAAAAAAGGCAGAATTTAGGGTGTTCCCATTTCTGCTAAGGACACTCATCATTTGGGGTGGGTGTTAGTGCCATACAGGATGCCTGTATCCTATACTGTAGGGCCTGGTTTTGAATCCCAGCTCTACTATGATTCTGGTTTCCTACTAATGTGCATCCTGGGAGGCAGCAGGTGATGGCTCAAGTATTTGGGTCCCTGCCACACATGTGGGAGACCTGGATTGAGTTCCTAGCTCCTGGTTTTGGCCTGGCCCAGCCTTGGCCGCTGTGGGCATTTAGGGAGTGAACCAGTGGATGGACAACACTGCTCTTTCTTAATCTCTGTCTCTTCCTTTCAAATAAAATAAATTTTCTGAACCAAAAAAAAAAAAAGAGGAACATTCTTCATGTGAGGGAAAAACAAAGCAAATGTCTTATGTTATTGTGCAAACATAACTCTCTGGGGTTTCATGCAGTATGTCTGGCAGGTGAGGACCTTAGATATTTTTTTTTAAGAAGGTTTGTTTATTTGAAAGGAGGAGTTAGAGGGAGGGAATGAGGAAGGGAAGGAGAGAACGAACCTGGAAGTCCATCCTGGTCTCTCATGTCAGTGGCACAGGCCCAGGCATTCAGGCCATCTTCCACTGCTTTCCCAGGTGCACTGGCAAGGAGCTGGATCAGAAGCAGACCAGCCTGGACTCTACTGGTGCTGAGATGAGATACCATGTTGCAGGCAGCAGCTTAACCTGATGCACCACAAGGCCATCCCTGCCCAAACATTGAACGAGGCAATAGCGTGTGCCTTCCACCCTTCAGGTTTCTAGTCCCATTCAGTGGGAATTGTGCCTGTGCCTCCCATTGCCAGAGCTTCCACAAGTGTTAGCTGGCCCATCACCAGAGCTGGCATGGGTGTTAGCTGGCCCATCACCAGAGCTGCCACGGGTGTTAGCTGGCCCTTGCCCATGCATGTCTTCTTGTCAGTCCTCAGGACAGAGCCTCAGCCCTCATCAGTCCCTGCACACAGGAGGAACAGACCTCTGCTCCTTGGCTGTGCCCCAGAGTGAGGCAGCACAGCCTGAAGGGTGCTGTGGGAGACGCTGGGTGTGGCAGGATTATCGGGAGCATATTTCCTCAGCATCAGTTCACATCAGATGGTTGGGAAAGCAAGACTGGCTGCACCTAGATGCCAGTTTTCAGCTCAGAGGTCTGTAATGTTTATGCTATTCAGTCTTGCTGGGAATTTAAGAATTTCCTTTCATCTTGATTCCAGGTTTTAAGGGAACACACTGAAAGCAGGAGCTGAACATCACTTACCAACACAGGGTTGTCCCCTGACATCTAGGTGATTGTTCCCAGGACCCCCAACCCCAAGTATACCAAAATCCTTGGATACTCAAGTCCCTTCTATAAAACGGCCAATGTAACCTCTATGTAGGGGATTGGTTCTGGGAGCCAATGTAACCTCCTGCCTACTTTATTTATTTATTTATTTATTTATTTATTTTGCCAGGCAGAGTTAGACAGTGAGAGAGACAGAGAGAAAGGTCTTCCTTCCATTGGTTCACCCCCCAAATGGCCACTACAGCCAGCGCACTGCCCCGATCCAAAGCCAGGAGCCAGATGCCTCCTCCTGGTCTCCCATGAGGGTGCAGGGCCCAAGGACCTGGGCCATCCTGCACTGCACTCCCAGGCCACAGCAGAGAGCTGGACTGGAAGAGGAGCAATCGGGACAGAACCGGCGCCCCAACTGGGACTAGAACCCGGGGTGTCAGCACCGCAAGTGGAGGATTAGCCTAGTGAGCTGTGGCACTGGCTAGTTTAAAGGGCCTTGAGCATCCATGGATATACTGCAGGAGGACCTGTACTCAGCATATGACACAGGCTGCTGCAGAGAAGCTCAACACAATGTGCATGTTTGCATATATAAACATCTGAATTTGCATATGCATTTATACATATATATGCACACAATAACACACAGAACTTGACGGACTGATTCTAAGGAATTGGCTCATGTGCTCCCAAGGTCTGGGAAGTCCCGTGGTCTGCAGGAGGCACCTGGAGACCTGGGAGACACCAAAGGTCTGTGAATCAGCAAAGCCCACAATGTTATTTCAGGTCTCAGAACTGGCAGACTCCAGCCAATGTTTGGTGTGAGACTAAAGGTCAGAAAAGGCCATCATCCCAGCTCAAAGCAGCCAGGCAGGTGGAGGCCCCTTTTATTCTGGGACTGTCCATCTTGTTCTAGGGGTGCCTTCCACTCACTGGCTTGGATGTGGTCTGTCCTTCAAAGGTTCATGTGTTGTCAACCTGGTCCCCAGGGAGGTGACATGAGAGTGGTGGGAACTTCATGGGGTGTAGCCTCTTGGGAAGTGGGTGAGTCATCATGGGTGTTGCCCTTGTGGTTCTTCTAAGACCCCAGGAACTTCCCCGGCGGACGCTGTCACCAAAGAACAAGACTGGGCCCTCCTCACTGTCTGGCTTCCTGTCTTCCCATGTGATGCCTCCCTGTCACATGTATTCCCACTGTAATGATGCCATTTGTCATGAGCTGGCTCCATACCATGCAGACCTTCAGCCTCCAAAATTACAGCTAGAGAAGCCTCTTTCCTGGTGAATCCTCCAGCATTGGGCATTTTGTTACAACGGATAGCTGACCCATACAGGAATGCCGGCTGCCATAAACTCTCAATTTAAACACGAATCTCAATTTAAAAAGCTTCTCAGACACACTTGGAATGATGTTTGATCAAACATGTAGGCCCTAGTGGCCTATGAAGATCACCATCACAATAGCTCCCAATAAATATTCAAGGTATTTCCCACAGATATGGCCATGTGCAGGAGATGAACTTGGGAAGGGGAAGTTACCAGGTTTCCACCAGGCTTTGCTCCCTTATCTATGTCTCTATGGCAACCAGCATCATGGCAACCAGGCAGGCCTGGTAGCAGGTACGTTTTCTGCTGGTCAGTGGGCCCAGGAACTGATACAGTTCTGCTTTGGAACTCCTTGGCTGTCTGCAAATCACAGAGGACAGGGGCTGGTGCTGTGGCTCAGTAGGCTAACCTTCTGCCTGCGGCATCCCATATGGGCACCAGTTCTTGTCCCATCTGCTTCTCTTCTGATCCAGCTCTCTGCTATGGCCTAGGAGAAAGTAGAAGATGGCCCAAGTGCTTGGGTCTCTGCACCTACATGGGAGACCTGGAAGAAGCTCCTGGCTCCTGGCTTCAGATCGGCTCAGCTCTGGCTGTTGCAGCCATTTAGGGAGTGAACTAGTGGATGGACAACTTCTCTCTCTGTATCTCCCTCTAACTCTGCCTCTCAAATTAAAAAAAAAAAAAACAGGACACAGCTGGGTGTGGACCTCTTCTCTGTAGATTGTTGGCCAGAACTAGCAAGTAGATGTTTCCTGCATACTGTCACCTGTGAGAATGGAGAAGTGACAATCCCTGAAAGGCTCTGATGTTGCTCTTTAGCCTGTCTGAGCCACCACATGAGTGGTTGAGGTGCTGTCTGAATAAAAGACATCCCATCTACCTATAGCTCCACGAGGGTCCTTCCAGCTTCCAGCCCTAAGCATCCCTCCTTCAGGCCAGCTGAGCTCAGATCCAACAATCCAGCATTTCAATTTCTCCCTGGACCACTTGACCTCTATAAAAAGTGTTCTGTAAACACCCGAGAGAAGAAATACATGGCTTGTCTTCTATTGTTGTTGTTATTATTATTATTACCCCTATCACCTAAGGATGAGCTATAGAATAAAATGTGCATTTTTCATCAGTTCTACAAAAAAGCAAAGCTGTAACATAATGAAGACACAATTTTCTTAATAGAACACCTACTAGAGAATTCAAGGAAATCTTACTTTTCTGTTTCTCAGGACATTCATCACAGGTAGAGTAACTGGGTAAGACCAAAGCATATATCACATTTTACTTGTATGAACATGGCTATATTTGCTTTTCCTAAGCCGTATCCTGTAAATTCTTCCTTGGCAGTGGCCCTAGGAACTCATTCCTGCCACTTACTGTGAAAAAGCTCCAAATAAAACAAGAACACTTTGGGGGCTGGTGTTTTGGCACAGTGGTTGTTGAGCTGCTGCCTCCAATGCTAGCCTCCC